GGTTCCCACTTTATTTCCCTACCTCTAATTTTTCCATCCTTTTCGCCTCGCTAATCTTCCACCTACACTTCCTTCGATCCTTTAGCTTCTCCTCTGCAATCTATTCTCCTTCTTCTTCCTCCTCGCTCTTCTTTCCCTCCCATTTTGTTCGCATCTCCTATCCCTCCTTCCACCACCACCGCTTCTTCAGCGTCAACCTCCTCTTTCACGATTCATCATTTGTCCTTCATTTCTTACTCCACATACCTCCTTCCCTTCCTCAGCCTTCCACACCATTTCCCTTTTTTTCTTCCTTGAGCTCTTCTCCTTCTCCTTCCATTCATGCAATCTCCTTTTACTTCTTTTTCTCCTCTTCCTCACTACCTTCTGCTTTTTTTGTCCTGCTTATAAATAGTGCTTCTCGGTCGGCCATCTCGGAACGGAGCAGTTGCGGTTGTGTCTTTGCAGTGTTGCCGTTCTACCTATCGCTTGTCTGCATTCAGCAGCATTGCCTGCAATACGCCCTTTACAAGAGTGCCGTAGTTTCACTGCTCTCCTTCGTGAAATTACAATTTCTGATAACACATATGCATCAAAGACGAAAGTAACTAACGTCAAAACTCAAGACCACTATTTTGCACGTTCTCGGCATGTCGTATGTGGTTGTGGGGTCCCATCGGACAGTCACCAACGTGACTGCCCCATTTTGGAGGTCAAGTTCAACACTGCACCCCCTCTTTTACGCCTCGTCGTCTAGCGTAATTGACCTCTTCACAAAGCTGCTAGACCATAGCAACAACTCCACTCCCAACCGCTGCGCCATTCCCACTGACAAACAAACTGTGGTCCTGTTTGGACACGCGGCAACAATCAGTTCACTGCAGGTACTGGCAACTGCATTCAAACCCTTTCCCACTAGTCATTACGTCCTCCATTTGCATGTAGTTAGTCGTCCTCTTAGACGCGTGCCCGCTTGTCAGAGCGAGCGTGCAACAGAAGTCATTATCAACGCGAACACCTTTCCTAAACACCTCCTTTTCATTTTCACAAAAGTTAATTTTAATTAGTGGTGACAATTATTTTGCTTGTCGTTTACTGGTTCAAGCTGCGCCTTTGTGCGTTAACGTGGTGGCATTCACATCTGCAAACGTGAGTAGCTGGAGTCAATACTTTTGCCCTTTTAAGTGAATTCATCGCAATAGCATTCCCTTTGTTGCTCTACAATGCTGAAGGCGATAAAATTGGACTGATGTGGCATTGCATTAAGTGGTTTGATGTTTAGCTGACGAGAGTTTGTGCTTAACACGGTTCTAGTCTGACAAGTCCAGTCGATGGTCCACCGAATACTTGCTTCTGCTTCTCTCCTCCTCCTTCCCCTTGACTTAGTTACAAGCAGCTGTTGTAATGGCTGACTTCGATGGAAACAGTCCATCGTCAGTGCCATCCTCATCCAGAGGTCACTTCAAAGTTAGTGGAATATGAAGGCATTGCTGAATAGAACTAAGGAGAAGAAGTGAAAGGAAAGCAGGATTTGGGCCAAGGAAGTAGAGGAAAGGATGGAAGAGAAACTGGAGAAGAAGGGGAAGAACAAAAGTAAGTGTGGGCAGGTGGGAAGGAGAAACGGAAAAGGAAGTTGTGGATGAATGGTTAGTGAATGAGAAATAGGAAGTACTAGAAGGAAGGCGGAGGATAAAGCAAATGTAGAATAGGCGAAAGCAAAGGGAACAGACAAAGTAGTGGTGGAGAACAAGTGATTTTCCGGGAAAGAGCGGGAAGAGTAAAAGCTACAGGGAGTGGAAGTAGGTAAGCAAAGCGGGTGAAGAGTTGGAGGAATAAAAATAATGAAAAGATGAGGTACAAAACAAGAAGATTAAAAAACGAGCTCCTTAAATTGTCACATTTAGCGTTGCCTCCCTCGGCCTCACCATCCGTCGCAAAGACTTACGGATTATGACAAAATTTGAACGAAGATGTTGCTGATTTGTTACTTTTTCTCCCGTTACCGTAGCTGTTAATGCCAGCGCAGCAACAGCAGTGGAAGGGAGGTGTTAAAGAATAAAGCAGATGGAAAGAGCTTTGTGAGAAGGACTGCCACTATTCCTTCTCTCCTCCTTCCTTCCCTTTCTCCCTCCCTCTCCCAACATTTCTCAGTGACTCCTTATGCCTTTGTGGGACAGTTGGTGTGGAGACGACCAGTGGCAGGATGTGGTTTGTGAAGTTATCCGTTGGTCTGCGTTTTAGCAGTTGAAACACCTCTGATTGGGAAGGTGTAGGCGAAAGTCAATGTGGTGAAGGCAGTGTTGAGCCTTGCCAACACCTCACCAGTGATGCGATGCTGGTGAGGGATGGCTAAGGTGGTTGTGATGGACTGTTGGTGAAACGACTATTGAGTTGTTAAAACTTTCGCCTTTCACAAAAATTCGATCTCAACTAACGTATGGTGGTTGTTGTCCACCATTTTTCTGCACGTCGACCTTCCTCAGTAATAGCGCAAGGTGAGCGACGGATGCCAATGTTCGCTGGAGAATGCTTTTATTGAAGTTTTACTTGATTTGGCGCATTCAGCCGGAGATGACCATCATTTACATCAATCTCGCACATGCTACTCTCGTCTCTGGCCGTCCAAGTGCGGCTCTTTTTGTCCCTTTTCCTTACCTTTTAGTACTTTTGTTGGACATCGCTGGATATGCAACCAACCCCCGGTACACCTTGATTTCGTTCATTTTCTGATCTAGGCTGAGAGTAGCATTTGATTGATCCCCTTGCAGTTACATGGAATGGACGAGTCCTGCCCACTCTTCCTATTCCCCTTAACACTTTTCTGCCAACTGTCACTCCAATCCCCATTCTACTTCCACATTTCCTCCCTCAGTTGGCCCATTTGCAAATACATTCAATTACCAGGGTAGCCAAATTTGTGTTGATTTTTTGAACTGCCATTTCCTTTGACAGCGTGCGCTTATGGGGATGGAGAAGTGAAAAGGCAGTTTGTCTAGCCAAAGCGGATGGACTGTAGGTTGAGGCAGTAAGGGAGAGGAGATTGTGGCTAAACAAATCGACTGAAGTGATAATCGAGGAGCCGCATCACTTGGATCGCTAGTAGTCTAACCCAACGTCGTCTGCTTCACCTTCATACCACGTCAGCTTCGCCAATCTTCATCTCATTTTAAATTTTAATTCCGTTGCACATCTTGATTAAAAATCGACGCCCAGAAATCGGCTATAAAACAATAAACCACTAGCTCAAGCGGCTGGAAATAAAAGGAAAAAATTCCATTTAGGAGCCCATAAACGTGATGCCGATGGCACTCCATGGTTATTCGGTAGACTATTTACTAGTCCCATTTGACCACTCAAATATGACCGTGTTAAATGTAAGAAGTGAAAAATAAAAAGTGGAGATCTTTTAGCTATAACAAACATTGGAAGTTGCTGACGCGGAAGTCCATTTGTGCACTTCCCATTTGGTTCAATTTTAATTCCAGCCAACGATGTTACTGATGCTACTGATTCATTTTCAGCGGCAGTGTAGCAACTACTACCAGTGGCAGGAAAAAAAACGGCAGACGAAGTTTATTCCATTATGACGGCAAAAACGATGACAAAAGCAAGAAAGGTTGTAGTTTTTTGTGCCATTTTTTTAGACATGCTAAACAATCAACATCAATGCCTGGTGGAGTAAATGTCTGTTGTTCTTTCACGAGGTCATGCATGCGAGAGTAGAGGGTAGGTAGCGTATGAGGCAATTCCACACATATTGCCCATGTCTCTGGCCATCCAAATGTAGCCCTTCTGTCCCCATCGCTCTCCCCAGCTATTTTTTACGATCCAGTACTTTTGTTTAGCGAAGTTGGCATCGTAACCAACCACCAGTACGGCGTGATTTACTGCATCCTCAGAGCAGGTGAGGTCTTGGAAGACGCCCTTCCTGTGAACAAAGAGATACATGCAGTGAGTTGGAATTAGCAAGTAAGTAAAAACAATGAGAGACGTTGGCTTACTTGTAGAACATGAAACCTTGAGAACTTGCGTCGATGGCAACAGCCACAGGACCCACGCTTGCAACACTCAGTTTCAGTTTGTCTTCTCTCCTTCTCGGCACGTTGGCATAGAATGCCACATTTGTTACTACTTTAGAGCGGTTGAATTGGCATTCACCATCCTGTCACAATATAGGCGAGGAGAGAATAGTAATTAGAGGGGGAACGGTGGTCCAAGATTCTCACTGATAGTTCTTCTCGATGCAAGTATCAGTGCATAAAACTACTGCCAAGTATTTGTGTGGGTGTTTGCAGATTAGTTTGCTGACAAACAATGCGGCAAAGTAGATTTGTGATGTTTAGGTTTGATGTCATGTAGAGACATTTGGAGGCTTCACATTATCCAAACACTAGCCCTCCACCCTTTCACCTCCACGGAAATGACATACGTGGTTCTGATTAAGTCAATAAGACCGCCAACTGTCTAACGCACTATCCGATGACTCGGTTTTGGTTATGGCCATGGTGGACAGGTAGCCGACCGGTGCAAGCGCGAAAAGTCCAAAATTGAAGCACTTTCTGGTCGAAAGCGCTGTGTCTAGACAATCTCTGAACTTCAAAACTAAGCCGTTTCGAGCAGCCAAAGATAACTTTATTGTCACATCGCAAATCCATTCATGCATTTTCATTTGCTTGGTGTCTCGAAGGCATACTGACAACCTGCTAAAGAAGATGGCCGTGATAGTTTGGCTAAACCTGACCATCACCAGTTCAACGCATTTTTGACCACAGAAAGCTATTCCTGCGTCTATCAGTGACGCGAATGGAACTCGGATGCATTGAAGGCAGAATTGTGAGATTTGTTGGTACAAGGGAGAGAACGATGTTAATAAACTACTTTTAAAAAGAGCCTAAACAGATCAAATAACGCTTTCAGGTTTTGACTTTATACGACGGAAATGTGCAACATTAGCGATGTCGCATGAACGGCATTTCGCCTGCCCTGAAACCAAGAAAAATAGCAAGCATCCTTGCACTCAACACGAGACAACAACGCATTTTACGTACTTCGGCAGTGTATGGATAATCGCTTTCACTTTCCGCTCCATTTCGCATCCAGTAAAGGAAGGCTCTGTTCGGCCAACCACCATTGCATCCCATATTGCCTGTGGTGCCGCCACAGTCAACCAATTGTTGTTCGGACAGACTGATAAGCTCCCCGTTTTTCTTCATCAACTGACCCTCCAAGGCACCAGTGGCAGAAAAGGCCCAACAAGAACCACACTCTCCCTACAAACATCCACTTATGATGAGGTGAGAATAAATGTGTGAGAATGTGTGAATATGGGGAGTTAGAAGGGGGTCGATCCTACCTGATCCTTAACAGGTGTCACAAGGCCCTCCTTTCGCCAATCAACTGCATCTGGTTCATGTAGTTGACTAGGCTGCGCCACATACTCATTCCTCGGGGCGTAGTTCCACAGATAGGTCTCCAGCATGGCCTTGTTGAGAGTGAGGTACTTGTCTGCATATTCCTTCAATGTGAGATCAGCAAAGGCGTTGAGTGCGGTGGAGTATGTCTCCAGTCCGAGATAATAGCGCTCATTGTGCCATCGGATGAACATATAATTGGAGCTGAAGATGCGCATTCGTAGGTGCTCCTCTTGCAACGTGGGATAGGCCCTCTTGTAGACCACTTTCCAGATCCTCCAAAGGCTTTGTAGAAAGGGTCGACTCGCGACTGCTGAGGTGAGGAGAAGGAGAGCGATGCAGAGGCAAGTTCGTCCGACCAGCATCGTGTGATGATGCCTTGTGGCTGTGGAAGAAGGTGACTATGACTTATGCACACGTCAGTGTGTGCACACCGCACGCTTACAATCACATCAACCCTCCGAGAGACTGCAGGAGGCGGACATGCGATTCAGTGGGTGGTTTTCAGGTTTAATAAGTATGTGCAATTAACAGTCGACGTGGTCTGACAAAGGGCCTAAGATTCACCAGTTGTAAACAACTGGAGCATAAATAATCTTGTAAAGGTTAGTGTAGACGTTGTCAAAAGTAAACGTTCCTAATATGGTCTATGATGGAAGGCATTTACGAAATGGCAGGTTAGACAGAGTGAAAAGGACTAAGTGCACTTAAGTTAATGAAGCAGATCATCACACTCTTGTCCCGGGAGCACTATAACACATTTCAATTAGTTAGGCAATTCGGATGACCCATCAAGTAGATGTGATGGTTTTAAAGGTGCCACAGCATTAAGAAGTTGTCTGTCATCTCTGACACTGCCATAGCCACCTACTTAACAAAAGAAGCTCGCCTTCTTTAAGGATTTGCTTCGTACTCTTGTAGGTGGACTGGATGTTGGTCAAAAGCTCTCCACTGCACTGAACCTGCATCGTCAAATGTCACCAATCATAGTTCGTGTGAAACACGTCATTTCTCATGTCATGCTACGACTTGATGAAGTTGACTGCACTGAGGACACCCTTTCTCCTCCACTCACCACAGCTTCTCCTCTCCTCCCCATTCTATAAAATCAAGTACGAAATACTCGACGCAGCTTTTACTTCTTGCAAACTTTTGCAATGAAATGCCTCAGTTCTGTGTTGAAGTTCTCTTCGAGTAATTTGTGTTGTTGTTGGTCGTCCTGTGGGCACTGCAAATGCGTGGAGAGGCGAGCTGAACCACAGAATGACAACTCAGATTCTCGTGCGCACTGACCACTCTGCTATAATGAAGCGAAGGTCAAGTCGTGGGGGAGTGAAGTGGAAATAGACGGAAACAGACCTGCTGCAGTAAGTGGGGAGAGGCAAGCTTCCAGGGCCACAACACACCCTGACCTAAGGCATGTGCACTCCTGTGCGGCAAATGGAGTCCATTTGTTGGAAAAAAATAGTAGCCAAAGTGTGTACGTATCTCATCGCCTACCTGAAACCCCGCCGATGGGCATGAAAGCTGACATTTTAACCCCTGTCAACACCAGTAGTCGCAGCAAGTACACTGCACTTAACTCGCTTTCATGCCGGAAAGCGGAATGCGATTATTTCCATAACTACAATATTACTGTCGTCAAACAAATACAAGGAAACAATAACATGATGATGTGAGATTTCTTAATACAAACCAGAAATATTCACCAATTTCCTTCCTAATTTCAATCCGTTTTAAAGAAAAGAAAGCAATGCTGAGTTAAACTACCGCGAATT